CCCCAAAACCCCAAAACCCCAAAACCCCACGATTAAATAATAACATATATTCTTAGGATTTTAATTAATTTCAAAATAAAATTAAATTTCAATCAAAATGGAATATGAATAAAATTAGCTTAAGATAGACAAAGTCCTCTATTCCTCCTCTTAAATAGCACTATCTCATACAACTGATACTTTATATTTTGACATTGGATTTGATCTTTACTCTTTAAATCTTAGAAGCTAGCATCAACAGTAGCTCTTCAGGCAAGCATCAAATAAAAATGGGTATAAATTCCTAATGATTTATGTTACACATGATGATCTCTACCTACTTTGCATAGTCTAAAATCTTAATACATTAGCTTATATATTGGAAGTATATGAGATTTAAACCAATGAGAAGGTTAGTGAATAGCTGCTACCTTAGGAAATATATGACACATAGATGCTTAATTGCTAAATGCTGCTAATAGACAATGATGACAAGCGAAGGAATCTCAAAAAAGTTGTTGTATTATGTTCATTTGTTAAGGATAGTGGGATATCTAAGATTAAGACTTAAGAAATGAGTGTATGGAGATTTGAACTTGGGGCATTAACACTCATGGATACGAAAATAATTAACAATCATGATACATGTTAAGATCTAAACTTATTGAGTCATGATAATCTAGGGTGCAATTTTATCACTATAAATTAATATAAAGGCTAATAAGTAAATATGTGGAGTTATCAATACAAAAGTAGATAACTATTCTTAGATGAGAAGATTGAGATGCCTGGGGGTAGAAATCATAATGTTTAGTAAGTTTAAGTATTTAAGAGCTAGCTACTACTGCTAATTTTGTTAAAGTAAAATGACGGCAAAATAAACTTGTACAATCTTAAAGTAAATTGATTTCATTTAAAACAATATTTAGACTAAAGTATTCGAAGCTCTAAAAATAGACGATTATGAAATTTCTAAATTCTTGATTAAAGACAATTCAGCTTCTATAATCTATATTAACATTATAGGTACTTTTAGACTTATTAATAACTTAATTATAGGAAAGATTATATAGTACGACCTTTTGAACAGAAATAGAATCAAAGAATATGATTCTAAATTATAACTACCGATATAAAACAACACACTTTAATAAGCGTTAATTAGAAAAAGCTAGAAGCCAATAATTATCAATGATATTTAAGCCTTCAGAGAAATTGAATGTGAGTATTTGTAGATGGATTACAAGGATAGTATATTAATTCAGCTATGCGATAAGAGATACTCAGTTATTAATATGGATAAAAGTGTTCCACTTATTGTTAGTGATTAGACCTAGGAAGAGGTACAACACTTGACGAGCAGGCCTTTGAGTAGTCAAAAAAGCCATTTTATAGCTGTACAAAATTAAACCATAATCGATAAGTGTTCTATAAAATCAATGATTTTACAATCGTCAGATTGGACGCAACAAAGTCTTGCCATTAACGTACTAAATCCAAAATTAAAAGTTGATTAGATCGTTTTTAATCTTGGCATGAATATAACTTTACTAGTTATATAGCCTGGATAAATATAGATTTATGATTCACGGACTCTGCTACCCATATTTAACCAAACAATTACCCTGTCTATTTATGAAATATCTGACATTACCTTTAGTTAATGTAATTAAATATTGATCGTAGCATTTAAGACTGGTCTAATAAATTTATATAATCTTGGAGATATGTCCATAAGCTTCTTAGCTCAGGCAAATGATCATATATAAAATGAGATTTAATGTGCTATTAAAGCTATAATCTGTGGTTAGAGCTAGAAATTAAAAACTTACGAGTTGATATGCTTAGTTAACTCGATGTAGCTATAATTAAAAGCAATTGATTTATAAAATGGAAAAGTTTACACGAAGTAGAGTTATCAATCTGATTCAAGTAAGTATAATTGCTTCTTTAAACAAGGATTTTAGAAATATTTGCTTATTAGATTCATCCATCTAAGAAATATGTTATGATTTTAAATTAGTCAAACTAAGTTACCATATTCAAGTAAGAACCATCTATTTCTAATAATTATGCTAGTGTTGAATCAGGATTGGTGATAAGTTCCTTTATATTTAGAGATTACTTGGTAAAATCATTTGCTTTTGACAATACTGGCTTATATATGATGGTTATATCGACTTAAGACGATGATTAGTCACTCCTTAAGTTGAATATAGCTCATCCTATTTATAGTCATTTAAGAATTATTTAACTAGGTACTGGTGTTGAAGTGAGATCTATAGATCTTAGATTTGACATTGAACATTATCAATGGTCTTATGATGGCAGATTCATCATGTGTACAGCAAGAGACAGCAACATACAGACATTGATTACTATTGATAAACCTATATGTGAAAGCATCTTGAATGCTTATGATCATAATAGCAGAGGAAAGGATTTATGGACAAGTCATAAGTTTAATCTACCTAAAGAATTATTTGTTATTACATAGGATATGTACCGTAATCTAATTAGTTTGTAATCTGTCAAGTAAAATGTGATTAAGAGACCTTAGTTTATAAGAGAGCAAGTTCAACATGGTATTTAAGATTAGTCTGATTATTTGACAACCTAGGGATTCTCAACTCTGAGAAAAAGCGCAGACAAATCTGTGTTGAATTATAGAATAACATAAAAAAGTGCAAAGGACTTGTACTAAAGTTTAAGGAATTTCTCTCCTAGATCTATTAATAATCTAACCACTACACAAGGTGATGGCTAATGGCGATATACAAATGATAGCATGTATAAATAGAAATAGTTGAGATAGGTGGCAATGACTTCAAACAGATTTATAGATGTAGATCCAGAAGATATAGATTAGGATGTTGATTAGTCAGATAACTATAAATAAAATAATGAGTAGTAGTACTAGGAAGATGGAGATTATATTGTTAACGAGTATGACGAGATGAGATACAATTATAATAATTGATATTATTGATTTTAATTTTAGAATTAACATTATAATTATGCTGGTCAATTGGGGTTTTGGGGTTTTGGGGAGATCGGAAGAGC